GACCCCCCCCCCCCCCCACGCACCAAGCCTCACACCTGGTGGCTAGAATCTGGTGAAGACAGGGCACAGAGCAGCAGGTTCAAGAACATGTGTCCTTGTCCTAGAGTGGTTAAACTGCAAAGTTTAAAACCTACTTTGTATTTCACCCTTGATGTCCCATCAAACTTGTGGAACTCTGGTCTCGTCGCTCTCCTTTCTGTCCTTGAGGTTGTGGAAGAGGATTTACATGTTTAGATGCTGTTCCATTGTGGACATGTTCAGTGCTAGATCCTGGACACAGGTATACGAGAGGACATCAAGTTTCAAAGGGCATGGTGAAAGGAAACCCAGGGAAGAGGCCTCTTTCCACTGAAGAGGCTGCAAAATATGGGTATAAGGTGTGAATGACCCTTGATGGGGAGGAGGAGGCTGCCTGTGGGAGACAACAGGACTGCTCTATTTCCTTGTTTTTTACAGGTGATGGCCTGTCCTTCAGGCTTGCTTCACAGGCCCTTTATATTTACAGTTTGTAGTTAATGTGAACACCCAACCCCAATTCCTAGGACCCATTTATCTAAAGATTTATTTTATTTTTAACTATGTGTAAGTGTATCTGTGTGGGGGTCTGTGCACATGAATGCAGATCCCCCCAGAGGCCAGAAGAGGGTGTAGGATCCTCTGGATCTGGAGCTACAGGTGCTTGTGTGCTGCCCATTGTGAGTTCTGGGAACCAAACTCGGGTCCTCTGCAAGAGCAGTAAGTGCTCTTAACCACTGAGCCTTCTTTCTAGCCCTACCACCAAGATCTTCTGAAAATTAAATGAGAGTCTCAAGAGAACACTTCTTCTTCATCAAGTTGCAATTAGTAATAAATAGTTTAAGGTTCAACTGCCATCTCCTTGCAGAGGGAGAGATGGACTTCATGTATTTCTGGAAGATTAAGTGACCTCTGCGGAAATGATGGGGCCTGGGGCAGAGATTGCCCATTGGAAGTATTTCTTCATCAGGCAAATGAATGCCCTTGGCTGGCAGCAGGGATGGAAGTGCCAGGTGTTAAATCCTGAAGAGTTTGCTCTGTGTGAGGCAGTGTTTTAACACTGGACACAAGTGGCCACGTCCAGTGCTTATTGTTCTCAGAGGCAAGTGCCATTTAGACAGAGTTGACAGCTGCAGCAGCTGAGGCCATACTGGCTCTGACCCTGCAAATGGATTTTAAAATCTTGCTACCAGTGTGAACTGGTCTCTTCCCTGCAATGAAGTGAAGTTCTCTCTCCTACAGCATTTTCCCAGCACTATCACCTCGTGTTGCCATCTTATCAGAGTCTTTGCTTCCCCAACCTTTGATACTTGTGTTGCTACCCGTCTAGAATGTCCTGGGCAACACTCCTGGTTCCATGCACTGGAATTTTAAGGGATTGGAATTGGAATACAAATTAGAGCTTGTATCTGCTCCCTGGTTTCTCCTCCTCAAAGCACAGGGATGTGTTCTAGTATGAACAGTAGCAACAGAAATACAAAACCAAACTTAAAAAAAAATTATCTTCATCTGTACAGTTGGAGTGAAAGTCGAGCAGATCATGGCTTATTGCCATGCGTCCAGAGGCCTTTTAAAACTGTATTTGAGTATCTTGAGACTTTACCCAACAGTTGACTTTTGATGAATTAAGTTGAAATTGAGAAAAACTTTATTATTGGTGGGCATCCCGGAGATGGTGAGGGAACGCCTTACTGTCTCCCATAGGTGCTTTAGCTCAGACATGCATGAGAGAGACTGTATCTATGTTTCTCTGGGAGCACCAGAGGCTCTGAGATACAGGCATACTTAAAAAATGGTGGGGACATATATGTAACATAAAATTTATTAGTTTAGGGCTGGACGTGATGGTACACATCTTTAATCCCAGCACTCAGGAGGTAGAGGCAGGCAGATCTCAGAATTTGAGGCCCTCTCAGCATCCCAGTAACATATTCTACTTGACATAAACTGAGCAAGCATACTTTTCTTTTTTTAAATATTTTATTTATTATTTTTTATTTTATGTGTATGAATGTATTGCCTGCATGCATGTATGTGTACCTGTGTTGTGCAATGCCCTCGGAGTTTAGAAGAGGGTGTTGGATCCCCTGGAACTGGAGTTTCAGGCAGTTGTCAGATGTCATGTGGGTGCTGGGAACTGAACCCAGGTCCTCTGCAGGGCAGCCAATGTTCTTAACCACTGAGTCATTGCTCCAGCCCTGCAAGTCTGTTTTAAATTCTGGAGTAGGCAGCAGGTGTTTTGACCTTTTATAGTTTGTAGGTAGGCCAAATAGAGATATAATCATTTTGTTTTGGCTAATTTGTTTCTCTTTACTACCCTCTGTCATCAACCAAATATTGTGTTTCCCCAGGTGACTCGGTGATAATATTCCCACCCCCTCCACCACCGTACTTTCCTGAGGCTTCAGCTTCCACAGGAACCAGAACTCCTGGGACTAACAGCTTGCTCCCAATTGAAAACCCACCTTCCTATTCCAGTCTTTTTAATTATGGGTAAGAATTCCTTTTTGACCTTTACCAGTGGGCATGTGTTCCAGGTCTCATCCTGAATCTTGGCCAATCTCACTTTAAGGCTCTGGTATAAAGAACAGTATTCAAGTGCTGAGTGTCTGATGTTAAATCAGAATTTTTACACTTTACACTAGTACTACCTTGCAGGAAACCCTGGGCAGCTCATAAGAGTGATGGAGGGTTGAGAGGAAACCTTCCCTGGGCATTATTGCTCCTAGAAGAAGTGGTCCTCAAAATGTCTGGCAATGTATCCAGCTCACTGAGAGTGGTACAGGGCTGGAAGCCCCTGCCCTATTAGCTTTGCTACTTCAGAAGGTGGAGAGCTTTAGGGTTCCAGGGGACCCCTAACATGTACAGACAGATTTAAATATTCTAATGGAGGGGGCTTCCTGACCTGGCCCAGGTGGGCCCCTCCCTCCTTGTTTAGCTGCCTTTGGGCCTCAGAGGTTTGAAGAATGATTGAAGAGAGATAGACGGTCCATGCCCCACTCCACATAGAAAGCAGCAAGGAGATTCACAGGACAGGCCCCAGGAAGCAGCAGCTTAGGACAGTGTGAGGGGGTGATGAGAGGGAGGCTGGTCTTGGGGCAAAGGGAAGAAGCTGACCTCTAGGGTGAGTGAGAGGGGTGGTGGTGAAGGAGGTGGAGACAAGCTGGAATGGTCGGAAAAGGACCTGGGCTGGCTCACTGAGGAGGGACGGACCATGAATGTGGACTTTTGAGGTAGACCTGGGTGTTGGGAGAGAGAGGAGGTGTTGAGATGAAGCTGGGAAGAGATTGTAGGTGTCCAGGTGGGAGTTCTGGACTGTGCTTGACAGTCTGGGACTGGAGGAACCAAGGAGTGGACAGGGAAGGGAAGACTGCTGGAAAACATCCCAGGGCAAGGTGGATGAGCTGTCTTGCCAGATGGGGAGATATATGCATTTTTCAGAACAGGGCCAGCAAGGTCACAGGGACCTGGTGCCATTCATGTTTAAGGCTTGTACTCTACCCACTCCACTCAAGGGTGTTCCCTGGGGAGCCAGGAGAATCCCAACATTCAACTAGAGCAGGTGGAGTGTATAAAGCCTGGAAAGGGGGCCAGTGGACATGTGCCTTTCGTGGAGCTACTAGAGTGAGTGAAGTTGTGTGGGACCCTGTCTGCCAGGAAGTAGAGGGGCAGGTTATTTAATGAGACAGGAAAAGAAGTGGCCACAGGATGATGGGGGGGGGTTGCGAGCACCACATAGAGAAAGCTGGGGGCCAGGGAGGTGAATATAGGTGTTATACTGGTGGAGAAAGGACCTGGGCTGGGTAAGCGGAGCCAGATGTCTAACAGTGAATGCTGTATTTTTTTCCTCCAATGATTTGACTTCCCCAAACCCGAAAGCCAATGTTCAGAGCCTTCAAATAAGTACTGGGACTGCCAGGGCGATTTCTGTATCTCAAGTGTTGGCTTTTCTTGCATTATTTCCTGTGATTTTCACAACCACTCTAGGAGGAAGGTGCTGAGGCTTAGGAAGGGTAAATGTCCATGATCACCCACCTAGGAAAAAGCACAGTGGAATTCAGATACAGACTTGATGCAGTTAGAGTTTCTCTGGGGACCAGGGTTCCTCCCTGCCTCTCCTCAAGCTCTGGGCTTGTTTCAATTACCCACCTCCATTTATTCACCCATCTTACATTATCCCTGTAGAAAGACAGAACAGCAGAGGACAGTGACTGTGTGTGCCCTTGCTGGTGTACCTACTCTCTTCAAGGTGACACCTGCACTTTTGTGCTCGGTGCCTTTTCAGTGGCAAGGGCAACAGGAGTCAGGCAGTCTTGTTATAGTCAGCTCAGCTCTAAGAAAAGAGGGATAAGGTGCCAGTGAGATGGTTCAGCAGGTAAAAGCACTTGCTACAAAGCCTGACAACTAGAGTTCAATCCCTAAGACCCACATGACAGAAGGAAAGAATCAACTCTAGCAAAGCTGTCCTCCAACCTATACACACGCACACACACACACACACACACACACACACACACATACACACAAATAAATAAATATAATTTTTAAAAATTTAAAGAAATGTGAGGAGTAAAGAATTGAAGACAGATCTGTAAAAAGCAGAATGTGGGAGAAATATCCCCTTAGTCCTTGGTGGAAGCTCCCTGGAGCTTGTTATAGGGAGGGACCTTCTGTTTACGGGCTGGCCCTGCATTCATCTTCTCTCCTAATGATCTCTCTTCCTTCCAGCAGGACCCCAGCTCCTGAGAACCAGGGCACAGCCTCTGAGAGAGAGCGGGAATTCATATACACTATTTCTGGGATGGGCTCACCATCCGAGAGCTCAGTCACTGCGTATCTTCCATCGGACTTGCCTCCTAGATATGAAGAGAAAGAAACCGCCCCAGCCACGTCCTTGGCTCCCTCTTCCGAGTCAGCCCCATAATGAACTGTGGATTCCAGTGCAGTTTTATATATATCATGGATCTCTATTTTATTTAATTTTTTTTAAATAAAATATATGACCATATTGGCCACATTTTTGTTTTGCTGCTGTAGTATCAATAGAAGTAAGCAACTTTTCAGGCAGATCCTGGCTCTGCAGACCATGGCACAGGCACCATGACCAGCAGGATTCTCCCACTCAGACCTATAACTCTAGGAGGTGAAGGGGTTGTTTATATTGGTGGATAAGGAAACAGAGGTTCAGAGAAACTAATGGACTTCTTGAAGAGCCAATGAGGAAGTGTGAGTGTGTACTTGAACATATGTTCATGTGTGTAAGAGTGCACATGTATGTGCTTGTGTGGGGGAGGCCAGAGGTCAACCTTGGGTGTCCTTATTCAGGAGCTGCCTACCTTTTTTTTTAAAATTAATTAATTGTATTTTACATGTATGAGTATTCTGCCTGCATGTATGTAAGTGCACCCGTGTCATGAAGTGCCCACAGGAGCTAGAAGAGGGAGTCAGATCCCCTGGAACTGGAGTTACAGATGGTTGTTACCTGCCATGTCAGGGCTGGGAACTGAAACCAGATCCTCTGGAAGAGCAGCCAGTGCTCTTAACTACTGGCCATCTCTCTAGCCCCACACCTTGTTTTTTGAGACATGGTTTTTTATTGACCCAGAGCTTGTCATGTTGCTAAGCTGGCTAGCTAATGCGCCCCAGGAATCCATTGTCTCCAGCTCCTCAGTGCTGGGATTACAAGTGTGCCACTATGACCAGTTTTTTCACATGGGTATTGGGGGATGGAATTCAGGTTCTCATGCTACACTTCACTGACTGAGCTATCTGCCCAGTTTTTGAGACTTGGTTGTGAACCTACTTAGCTGTTTCAGAAAGCCACACTTCTATCATGTGCTGTCAAAGGCAGCTAGAAGTGGTCATTAATGTTCAGCCTTCTCCATCCTGTCTCCAGGGTTAGTTGCATCTGGAGCCAAGAAACAAGATTCTCTTAATTTCTTCATTATTTTCCTCCTTTTCATTCCTTTCCTGCCCGCCCTCCCCCCTTTTCCTTTTCCCATTCCTTTCCCTTCATTAGGGGCCTCAAGACCTCACTGCACATTGGCCTCCTGGAGGCTGTGTATGTTGGAATGCTGTGGCTACTGATTTCCCTGGAGGTCTAAGAAGGATTCGCCTTTCTGTCCTGTTCCATTTTGTTTTTGAGCCAGGGTCTTACTATGTAGCCAGGCTAGCTGAAATTGTGCTCCTCCTACCTCAGCCTCCAGAGTGTTTGGAGTAAAGGCACAGGCCACCATGCCTGTATACATGTGTGTGTGTGTGCATGCTTGTGGTATGTGTCCCTTCTCTATGAACCACACTCCCTGCGAACCTCAGTGTTAGCTAGCTCTCAAGTGCCTGAAGGCAGAGCTCCTGGGTCCTGGAGCTTTGGCAGTTTAGCTGCAGGAATAACTAGTGGCATGTGGATTGGCCCTGCAGTAAATCAGGGTGGCTGTTTGGACCAGCAGCACTAATCTATTTGTAAGTTGGACGTTTATTGGATTGAACTGCTCTTAAAATTCTGTGTTTTTTTTTCTTCCTGGAAAGTTAATTATTCACATTTTAAAATTAGAACAAAGGGGAGATTATCACCACTTCCTTCTGCTGTTATTTGTTCAAAATGGCCAAGCTTCTAGGTAGAATTACCTTTAAATAGTTAAGTGTTCATATATAATCAAGAACCTTTGCAATGGCTCAAAGCTGGGTTTGTGACTGGTTGCTTTGCTTTTAACATGGTCATAAAGCTAAGTGAGCACTTAGAAAAATGGACAGGAGGAAGTCTGACCTGGTATAGAAGTATGTTCTGCTTCATCAGCTTTTTGTGGTCTTTGGCAGAGTGTGGAATGAAGCCAGGGTCTGTTCCCCTCTCAGCAGTGATGATCCTGGTATGAGCACGCTATTGTGGAACTGTGGAGACAGGTCACAGAGCTGTGCGGACATGTCACAGGAAGATGCATCTTTGCCTGTCTAGGGAGTGATAGAGGATGGCAGCTTCTGAGAACCTATTCAGAGGTCCTGATTGCTTTAGAACAACCAATTTTCCTTTCTCTTCTGTTTTAACTGAATCCAAGTTTACATAACAAAATTAACCATTTTGCCATACCTCCCCTACCCCCAAAAGCTGGAGATTGAACCCAGGACCTCTTGCATGTTAATCAACACTGAACTGCATCTCCAGCCCAAATCAACCATTTTAAAGTGAAAACTCATGCCCAATATTGTAACTACTGCCTCCATCTAATTCCCTAAAATAAAACCCTGAGTTCACTAAACAGTGAACTTCCCCATCCTCTCCTTTTATCCCTCACTCCCAGCCCATCATCCCCATTCTGTGTTCTGTCATTATGCATTCACCCACTTTGGGTATTTCATATATGTGGGATCATATATTATGACTTTATATGTGTCTTTTGTTAGCATGTTTTGAGTTTTTATCCATGTTTTAGCATGCATCATTACTCCATTCCTTTCCATGGCTAAGTACTATTTCATGACATGGATATACTACAGTATAGTTACCCACTTATCCACTGATGGGCATTTGGGTTGTATCTACTTTTTGGCTGCTGTGAACAGGCAGCACAATATTTGTCAGAAGCACTTTTAGGGGGTAATATTTCAATGTGGTTCTGATTTGCATTTCCCTAATGACTAATGATGCTGAATATTCTGATGGTTAAGTTCAATTGCCAATGTGGCAGGGTCTGGAATCACCTGGAAGGGGACTTTCAAGGAAGGACTGCCTACATTAGGTTGGTCTGCGGGCATGCCTGTGAAGGATTTTCTTCATTGGGTTAATTGAGGTGGAAAGACTCTCCCTGAATGTGTGTGGCACCATTTCATGGGCTGGGCCCTGGACTGAATGGAAAGGAGAGAGTGAGCTGAGCACAAGTGTTGGTTGCTCTCTGCTTCCTGACTGTGGATGCAATGTGACCAGCTGTCTTGAGCTCCTGCTGCTGTCACTCCCAGCAATGATGGACTGTAACCTGGAACTGTGAGCAAAATAAACAAAGAAATCAAATATCACAGTAGCATGAAAAGAAATTAAGACAGAAATCAGTACTGAGATGTGGGGTCACGGCTGTGATAAACCTGTGTGCTACTTTGGCCTTTGGAACTGGTTTGTGGCTGGAATAAGGAAGAGTTTGGGATGTGGAGCTAGAAAAGCCCTAGCAGAGCTGAGCAGGACATTCTGGTGGGAGCTCAGAAGAAAAGAATGCCAAGAGAAATGCAGACAGTGGCGGCCTGGAGGGGAAAGAAGGCTCTGCCAAGAACTAGACTGGGGGCCTTTCAATGTGATATTTTGTCCAAGAATGTGGCTTCTTTCTGCTCATTTCCTGAGAAACTGAGTGAGGTTGAATTTCAAGACAATGGGCTGGTTTGTTTGGCAGAGGACGTTTCAAGGCAGGATGGTGCTGAGGCTGGTGCTGAGGAAGCAGCTATTATTGATGGAGAGCAGCACCACTGGAGAGGGGCCTTCAGAGCTGCACTGAGAGAGTGGGAATAGAGTCCCCAGGAAAGACTTCACACACTGAGGCTCCATCTTGAGCTGGCAGCAGCACTTGGCAAACAATGGTTTTTGGAGGCATGGAAGACAAAGGGCTGAGGGGGGTCAAGGAGTCTTGGTCCATGGTTTCAAAGAGCAGTTGAAGCCAGGCCATGTGTGGTGGGGTATGAATTCCTGCAAGGAGGCCAGAGAGGCCACTGTGTGAAGCCATGAAGGTGAGGCCTGGGTTGAGGTAGAGACTTCAAGATGCTGGAGATGCCAGAGCCGTGGGACGTCTGCTGGAAACAGTGGCAGAGGGGAGCACAGTAGGTCCTGAGAGCTCTAACAGCTGAGGAAATAAAGCTCAGTTCCTGTGACCTGTCTGCTAGCTGCACACTGGTGGTCCCCTCTGTTTCCAGATGGGGAAATCCTGGACTCATCTCTTAAGAAAGATAGGGTCTAATCTGTACTTCTTTGTCTTGGAAGAGGCCAAGAGTGTGGTCCTAGGGATATACCAGTGCTGTTTGTCAGGTTAGAGATGGAGAACATTCGTTGGATCAAAATGGAAACAGCTTGAGATTGTCCAAGTGGGAGGCGTGGCAAGGCCCCCCAACAGGGCTTCTTTCTGCCTGGGCCTATCAGCCCCTGGTGAAGTAGGAGGACGAGTTTCCCTGGTGAACAGGCTGGGCTGGGTTTTGCTGGCTGAGCCCTGGAGCAGAAAGCCCTGATCCTGTACCTCCCATGAAGTGGCTCTGAGGGAGAGTGGGGTGAAGTCATGAGGCACACTGTGGAGGCGGTGTGCCGGCACAGGCCAGAGCTGACTTGGAGGGGAACCATGCATGGTCGCCCAGAAGTCCGCCTGGGATCTCACATACCTGGGATTCCTGGAGCGTCATGCATACTGCCACCCGCCCCCTAAGAGGAGCCTAGTAGAGGGCTGGGATGTAGTTTCTAATGAGGAATGCTTTGTCGGGGGAGACTCTGGCTGAGTGCAGTTTGTCTGTATGGTGGCCTTCGGGCCCACATTCGGGAGCACCATCTGGCTGAAGTGGGGCCCAAGGTGGGGCCGATGTGGGAGTGTGGTGTGGCTTCATCCCCAAGGGTGTAGGTAGTAGACAGCAAGCTGGGCAGGGCAGTGGGTGGGCAGGAACTACTGTGTTATGGAGGCTGCTACCTCCAGGCCCAGAAGTCCAGGACGGGTGGATGTACCACTTTAGCTGCACTGTGCCAAACCACTCACAGAACGTTTCCTTAAAGTCCTGAATCCTGCCAAAGGCACCAGGTGGACCCAATGGTTTATTTATTAGGGTTTTTTACAAAGGGACAAGGTGGCCTCTTTTCTGGGGAAACTGGGCCAAGGGGTCAGAACACTGCTCGGTGGAGCTCCCAGGCCAGGCCATGCATGGCTTGGTTCTTCCTCAAACTCAAGGTCTTCCCACTGCCTCTGACCCTGCCCAGGA